TCTGTCTCCCTTTCTCTCTCCAGCCCTACCACCAAACCCCTCCCAAGACAGTTCCTTCTTGCTGCAGCAATGACAGCAGCACACACTGTCCAACTACTGCTGCTGTTTCTCATCTTCTTTATCAGCTCAAGGTGAGCAGGTCCCACTATAGAGAAAGAGCAGTTGAGAGAGCTGGAAAATGTAGGGGATTGAGACTGGAGGACCTTACCATGAACAGGTCAAGAAAGTCTGGAGATGAGTGATAGTCCCTTTCAGTGGCCACTGAGTTGTGCTGCAACTTAAATCTTCCTTGGAGAAAGAGCTACTTAACCAGGCAGTTTTCACCAAGGAAGATTTAGGCTACAGCATAGCACATCCAAATCTTCCTTAGAGAAACAGCTATGGACCAAGCAGCACAATTCCACCCATGCTTATTTCAGAATTAATCTCACTGAACTTTACGCTCACAGGGTTCCAACCAATCCACAGCTTCAAAATTTCCATTCCAACCCCCAGACATTCTGACAAGTATATTGATGAAACATTTTCCAAGGAATTTGACAGACCAGGGATGAACTGGAGAAAACATTAAATAAAAGAGGGAAACATAAACGCCCAAAATTCATTTCCTCCTTGTTCATTAAGATGAAGTATGTATATTTAAGAGAATTCCTTTTGGTAACAAAACAAAATCAGAAAGGCCTCTTCTGTGCCCCCCCCTTTCATTAAAACAGTGGTTCTTAACCTTTGTTACTCAGGTGTTTTTGAACTGCAACTCCCAGAAACCACAGCCAGCAGAGCTGATGGTGAAGGCTTCTGGGAGTTGCAGTCCAAAAACATCTGAGTAACAAAGGTTAAGAACCAGTGCATTAAACACTGAAGTGTCATCCCCATCACGTACAAACCCTGATCTTGTATTCCCTCCAAATGTATGTCAAAATTTTGCATGCAGATTTACAAATGCAGTAGGCTAAATGTTGTAGTAAGTTCACTACAAGATGATGGTTGGCAAAGGGAGCTGAAGGCAGGTCATAGTAAATCTATTATGGCATTCATCTTAAGCATAAAGGAACAACCGAGTACAGAATAGTCACTCACCCAATCTTCCTTGGGTGGATAAATAAACCACAATACAAAATTCAATAGTTCCGTTTATTAACTTGCCTTCTAGAAAGTGCTGTTTCCTCACAACAGCCATGCATTTTTAATTTTAAAAATATTTTTTGTATTTGGAACACCAAAAAATTAAAAATGCCACTGATTTAACCCACTAAGGATTCATTTTAATTTAAGGAGCAGTTGTTAAAAGCCACCTTATTTCATGCTTAACAGTTATGGGGATGATTTATTTTGATCCTTAGTATATTTATGAAAATGGGTCACAACAAAGAATTTATGAAATTCAATTCCCTTTCAATTTTTTTAAGTTATTATGATAATAACTAGCACAACTTCAAAAACCAGCACAGTCAACGTTTATGTAAATAATCAGTAAAAGGCAACTCTAGCAAAAACAAGACAATTTAGAGTGGAATCACACAGGCATATATCAGCTCCATGGTCCAATGCCATATCAACTCTTCTGCAGTAAATGTGAAAGCTTTCATATTCATTATTCAGAAATTTTTAAAGGGAGAAACCACATATATAACTATTTCACTTCCACTGGGCTTTGACGTTAGAGACTGATATTTGCAATTCTCCTTTCTGGTGGATTCTGATTTACAAGTACCTAAACTCATTGAAAGCAGTAAATGGGAATTAATTTAATCTTGAACAGCTTTGACTCCAACCTATAATTTAGTCACTCTCCTGACCTGGTAACAGTATTTACTATGTATTTCCATCTTTGCCTCTGGTCACATCTGAAGGAATTTTCAGAACAAACAGTGCAGAGTAAATAAGGCCCATTTTCTTAAGACAAGGTGATATGTGAATTCACATTGTCACAGCAATCCAGTCACTTCAGTGTATATTTGGTCACAGAAATGTTTAAAGACAGCTCAGACTGAGATGAAGGAGAAAAAGTAAACTTTAATTTTTAAAAAAAAATGTCTGTTAATCCACCAAATGAAGGCTTCAATCCTATGGCCTCTGGAGAACATCCCAGGAGCCAAATTGATTTTTAAAAAAATCTTTTGCTCAAAATCTTAGAGAGAAGAGTCATCACCATGGGTTTCCTCAAATAAGTCGGAAAAAAGCTCAGAGTCAAGGCCCCCCCCATACTGAAAAACATTAAAAGGACATGTAACAGGGCAGTATATCCATTCATTCATCTAACACAAACCCTGAACAAGGAAGAGAAACTAAACCAGCAGTGAACCCTGTGTTCTTTATTTCCCTCATCATGGAAATCAATGGGAGGAATTTTCTTTTAAAAGGAAATAAAAGGAAAATATTCTCCTTTACCTTCAAGAGCATGTGATAAAGCACAGAAAAGGCTAATTCTCTGCCTCAAACTCTTTGTTTCCTGTCACATAGAATGGCTGTTTACAGTGAATCTGACAGCAAAAGGCTCAACATTGTGCTGTACTCTGCATAGAGGAACATGAACTATTTCCAGTGGTTTACACATGCAAGAGATATTAAAAAGCCATTTTCAGTCCCAAAAAGTATGTAACAAATAAAATATTGTATTAACATGTTCAGTGCTCCTCATCCAGGAAGGCAACAGGAAGAGTTCTGAAAAAGCAGCAACTTGACTTCTTGAAACAAACTAAAAAAAGTCTTCACAACAGAAACTAAACTACTGTATGATCCAGTAAAAGGTATCTGAACTAGGAATCTCAAGGTTGGAAACTATTAAAGTAGTAATAGCAAGTCTTAGCCATGAAGTTTCCTATATGAAGTTTTATCAAGAACCCTATTTATGATATTTTACATACTAATACAACTCTGCATTGAACCAGGGCCTATGCTGGGAAATAATACTTATACTTTGACTCAAAAATTGGTCTCAACATTTCGACTCAAATTTATTGGCATTACTTTATCTTTCTTGCTACTCAACCTGCAACAGGCTTACACACCACAAGATTTCAGGGAAGTAATGTGGAAGTTTTCCCTGAGCCTATCCTAGGAACAAATTTACGGTAATCTTTGGGATTCTTGTGACTTTCAACTGAAGACAGTGCCTTAATTAAAAAACAACAACAACAACAACAACAACAAGGAAATGAAATACTACAAAATGGGGCCCTGAATGAGTCCCTGTTGTTGGTGCCATACTTAAAAGGCTCCACATGTGTATCCACCCCTTGGGTGAAAAATCAACACCGCACCACACCATCAACAATAAAAGAGGGGATGTATTTTATAATTGGTCTCGATTTCCTGATAGAGTTGGAATAACTTAGATTTAAATTAAAACATGAATATAAGCTGATATTTAAAGGATAAACAAACAGTATTTTTTAAAAAAGATTACAAAGTTGTCTTTTGCACTGAAAAAATGAATAGATTAGATGCATGTACTGTATACCTAATATGAATAGATTGGATGATTGTATACTTTGTGTTCTCCTATCCTTAAAACCCTTTCCCCATCCCTTACACTTCCTTTTACCTTTTGTATTTCCCTACCCTATTCCTAGTAGTTTAAAAATAAAAATATTTAAATAGACAATAAAACAAGGACTCCTTGGCCCCTCATTCCCTACTGGAAAGTCAAGGAAGGGAAGGGCAGAAAAAGACAGAAGACAAGCGAGCGAGCTGAAGTACTTACAGGCCAAAGAGTCGCACCCACGGCCCGGCTCGGGAGACCGTTTTGGCAGCTGCCCCCAAA